ATGCCTTTTCTTCCTGTTAATCTGATTTTGTGTCAGCTTAATTTGCAGGACCCAGATATAGAACATAAGAGGGTAGAGGAAAGGTTTTTTTTTTCCCCTCCCTCACACAGGTGTGTCAGAAAAGCTCACGGCACTAGTCACACTGGAGTCAAGCTGTGTGGATGTCGAAACACAAGAGGGAGGGGACCCCACTATTTCTAGAACTAGTACTGATGGATACTGCCTCCAGCCTATGCTGTTTTATAGTGAAGCTATAAGATGTACCCAACCATGGCCTACCCCACCTTCTTCCAGACAAAGATTTTGTTATGTAGCAAGACTCTGTATTTATTTGCCAAGAATAAAAAGTTTAGTTGCCGCAAAGTTACAAGAAAACAAAAGGTTATTCTACTCTCAAAAAGTGTCTAATAGTCTAATACAGATGCATTGAAAGAGGGGAGTTATACAACTCAACTACAAATAATACAACTGCATTAATAAAGGTGACTGCCCAACAAAAGCCAGTCCAATCTAATGGAATCTTCATTGATTTCTCTGCCCAAAAAGCATAACTTCCACTTAAAGCTTGTGTTCCCTTCCCAGGTCAAACCAACCACTTCCTAGCTCTGAGACCTTAAGTGGTTTACTTAACCTCACTATGGCTTACTTCACCCATAAAATGGGGATATTAGGACCCACCTCATAAGGAAGTTAGAGTAATTAAATGAGATGGAGAATATAAAGTGCTTCACACAGTACCTGACACTTACAGCCAAATAAATGTTAATTATTACTATTATAATCATCATCATCATCATCATCATCATTCTGGAATTTTCAAAATGCTTCCCAAACTTTATTCTGCCACCACGAATAAATGGAGCATGAAGTTTATGAAGGACACTATCCATATGCATATTTCCAGCCAACCCCATAGTCTCACCTTTGACTAATTCATTTATTCAGAGGGAAAAAAATACACAAAAGCTCAGATAATTTTAGATGAACCCTTTTTTCCTCTCGACAATGTTATATAAGCAGCATATGGGTGACATCTTTGAAGTTTATGATGTTTTTACTGTAAATACAAAAGAACCCAAAATACTGACATTTACTTCTTCAAAGTCCCATGAATTTATTTTCCTAAGACATATAAAATATTTATGCTGCTTTACTTCCACCACCAAAATCAATAAGCCACATCAGGCTTCCAACTACAGTGGAGGGTTATCAAACCGGCTTAGAATGAGATGATTCTAGTCCAAATCTCACTCAATATCCTTTGGCCCATCTTCACAGAATAAAGTCTCAGAATAAAGTCTCCTCTTAAAAAAAGTTTTTGTGAGAACACAAGGTGTCATCTACACTCTGACAAGCTCGGCAAGTTCACCGTAATTGAACTGCAAGGCTTGGGAGGGTGGCTGACAAGAACCAGAGAGGCCGCATCGGTCCCAAAGAAGTAGGAGGGTCCCATGAAGAATGAGCTGAAGACCATGAAACATGACATTTTTTAGCAGACTGAGCACCTTGGTGGCACATCTAACAATGAGAGGGGAGTTTCAATGACAGACCTAGAGTGGCCAAAAGTGACCCTATAAAAAGACATCAGTAAGCAAGGAAAGGTCAAAATGTGACAAGTGATTTTTCAAGCAGAGCGTAGGCAACAGTAGGAAAAAGCCAATCAACAGCAAAACACTTAAAATTGAAACTGAGACACCAGTCTGAGGATAACTGTTTGTATTTTTTTTTTAATGAAATGGATTTGACGAAGAAAAATAACACCTGAGAGAAAACAGTGATTATCAGTAGCTAGGTAGGGATGATATTTATATTTTTATATATTTTTTTCTGTATGTATTTTCTAAATTTCCTCTAATAAAAAATATACTACGAGGTTTGGAGAAGAAAGGAAGAAAGAAGGAAAATATATTACTTTTATTTTTAATTACGAGGTTTTTCCTAACAAAATGGGTAAGATCAGCAACCAACTACAGATACGGGTCAATTTAAGATATTATCTATAGATACCTAAATCTCCCCCATCAGACGCGATACTTTCATGGATGAGATCTTATTTTATTGTGCCTGGGAACCCCAATGTCTACTACAAGGCCTAAAATATTAGCTGCATATATTAAGAAATGTTTAGCAAATGATTTTTGGATGTGGCTACAAACCCAAAGTCTGGTATAACCTCAGGAAGGTGCAAAAGCGAACAGTCTTTTTATGGGATATATGCCAATCATCCCAATAGACACACTACCCACATTATAGCTTAATGTCCCTTGCTACTCAAATTTTTCATTAAGTCCTTTGTCCTCCCTCACCTAGCTCCCCTCCCTTCAGCACTCCCATGGAATTGAACCATGCTGTTTTGCCGGGGTCTTGCTCTGCAAGAAGCTATAGGGACACCACTATGATGTCCCTCTTGTGTCTCTTACAGAGATGTGCAGTCCACTCCAACACTGTGAGAGAACCCATGGGAAGTTTATTTCAGATCTCAGGGCCATTAAAATAACTCTTCTCTGAGAAAGTAACACATTTTATTTTTAGGAAGAGTAGGAATCTTATAATTGATCTTTTTTACCTTTATGCTGGAAGCGGAGACCCAAATCTATAGCCACCCTTTAGAAACTTTGGTGGACCTTAGGACACGTGTGTCCTTTCCTCTGGGTTCCTCTTATTCTTCCCTCCCTCTTTACGGCTCTTTCCCTTCCTTCCCTTTCCTTCCTTCCTTCCTTAACTGTCATCTGGGATGAGGCCCGGTACAGACAAACCAAGAAACCAAAAATTAAACACCACCTCTTACCCCCAATTCCAAGCTGCTTCAGACATTTTTCACCCAGGAATCCTGCCTGCAGGACAAGAAAGTAAAGCTCACTCCCCTCACTGCTACCAACCAGGGGGTGGTGACCTTTATGTGCATCTGTGACGGGAAGATCTGACTGCGGACAAGAGGCACTTACCTTTCCACTTCCACCCCCCAGCTCTAAAATACACAAGATCACGCATGTGAATGGTGCACGGTGATGTAAGGCAGAACAGCATTATGAGTAGGAACGCAGATCCTTAAATCAGACTACCTGGGTGCTACTCCCACCTGCTCCTCCCTACCTTTCTGTGCCTTGCCTCAATTTCCCAGCCTGTGCAATGGGAACAATAATGGTACTGACTTCACAGGATTGTTGTGAGGAGCAAATGAGTTAACATGTGTAAAGTGATTACATCAGTGCCCAGCCCACAGTAAATGTGGACCAGTACTATAATAGGACAGTTTTGTTTTCAATTAAACCACGCTACCCAATGTTTCAAGTCGGATTGAAAGTAATACTTCTCATTGTAAATTCATAAACTAACAAACCGATTTCTATGGTGACCTTGAGTTTGGATCTCATTTATAAATCAGTGTGGAGTCAAAGCTGTCCCTAAAATGGCAGATATTTTCAACCCTTTGCTTTCTGATTTGCTGAAGAGCAGGAGAAAGCAGCGGTGTCCAACCACAAAAATGGTTTCTGGGAGCGTATCCCCAACTAGTAACAGTATGATCCTTCAACCAAATGGTATATACACGAGTACTCATGTACACACTTGCACACCACAGTCAATGTCCCTCCAGCTGCAGCACAGACCGCTTAAAGTCTCGAGAGATGAAAAACCTCTTGAATAACTAACTTCTCAGGACATTCTTTAAAATAAAGTACTTTGTTTAGCCAGCAAAGAACAACTCTGTTTTGTTGGATGCTTGAGGTCTGATTTACATCGGAATTTAGAAAGCTGCTACCTCCTACACGTGCACTTAAAATGCAAACTCTTCATCAGATTCCACTTATAAAGAAGGACAGAACCCAATACTAGCCACACCCCATCTTTGCTCAGAGCAAAACCAACGTCCCGGCAACTTCCTTCACAACCAGCCCACCAAAAAAATCTAAGTCCTCAGTGAATGACTGTCATATATATGCACATAATTTTCATATAAAATGATTTGAAACCGCCACTGTATGATGGCAAAGAAAGAAAACTAGATAATCATGAAAGGTGTAGTGCCTGCAACCAAGGTTACTTGGAAATTTGACGTAAATGGATACATTTCAGCTCGTGCTATACTTAAGTTACAGGAGATTGGAAGAAAACGCCCCAGAGTGTATCAAAGCCATATATCTTCCACTTCCTACGTTTCCCGTAATTACTCACCAATGAATGCACGAGTTTGTTACAGTACTGAATTGAAATACGTCAGTCCCTTTTACATTCTCGTGTCTCCCAATCACAGAAAATATGCTAAGAATAGAATAAAAAATGAACAGACTATCGGCCAAGAACAGCGCTTTGAGGGATTTAGTAATCCAGTTTAACACGGCAAAATCACTGGGGAAGCAGGGGCAAAGGACCTGTACTGAATGATAAAGTGACACTCCCGAAGAGCAACAGCCGAGATTACTCTGCCGCAGCCTAGATTTTTCTCGCCGCGAGCTCGCGTACCGTTTTCCCAAATGCTTTTCCCAAGATCCCGAGGGAAATTTCAAACGCGGCTCCTCTCCAAAGTCCCATAGGAGACTCGCTCACCCACCCCACCCTGCAAACAGCGCACTTCCCGTTTGCTCTGGCCGGTCAAGAACTCGAACTTGACAATGACACACACGGGAAAGAAAAAAAAAGAGGAAGTGGCCAAAAGACCATTTCAAAGCATGTATCTATTTTCCCCCCTAAGGGGATCAATGTCCCTGTCTTCCAGTCAAGATTCAATGGGACGTAGCTATCACATCCACTAGAAAGTTGCAGCGAATGACAATATTGCAAAATCGAGGGCGACTCCCCTTTAAAATAAAAAATCCTCGAAATCCTCTTGCTATCCAAAACGATCCCTCCCTGCAGCGAACCAACAAAGCGACCCATCCCGGCGGGTCGGCTCCCGAAAGCGAAGCTCCAGGCCGGGTACGTGCGTGGTCAGCCCTGCCAAGTGGCAGAGGAAGCGCAGGGCACCAAGGCAGCCAGGGGAACCCTGTGAGTGCCTCCCTTACCTGGTTTGACCGGTTTGGGTGGCGGCTTCGACATCGCGCTTCCTGGAGCGGCTGAGCCTCAAGACCACGCACGAAAAGCCGACCGAACGCCCCGCCAGCCGGCACTCCGGGGACCCAAAAGTTTCTTTTTGTCCGGTTCGCAGCGGTGTGCCTTCAAGGACCTGCGCCCACCCTTGGCCGTCGGACGAGCGGACGCAGGCAGACCGGCTCGGCGCAATGCCCCGCCCCGCCGCGCGGCCGCCTGAGCCTCCCGAGCGCGCGGCCGGGCGACGAGGAAGTGGCCGCCGTCTCGCCGAGCGCTAATTGGCTCCCCGGCTGGCCGCTTCAGAGCGGCGGGAGCGCGGGCGGCGCGCACGGCGGCGCGCGCGGCGGCGGCGGCTGAACCAGCCGGAGCCGAGGAAGGGCGCCGCAGGCTCGCGCCGGGGCGGACCCGGCCGCGCGCGCCCCCGACGAGAAAGGGCCGGACCCCGCGAGGGCGCGCGCGCGGGACCACGGTCGCCGGAGTCCCGCCCCGCCTCGCCTCGCCCCGCCCCGGCCCACTCCGCGTCCCGCCCGGGTGGGACGGATCCCTAGGTTGGCGTCCTCTACCTGGGCCGCCCCCGACCCGGTGGGGGCGCGGAGGGAGGGGCTGTGAGCCTCTAGGCCAGCGAGCTTCGGGGGTCAGCGACAGGCGCACTTTCGGCCCGCGCTCCTGCCGCTTTGCTTGGGAGGGCTCGAACTGGCGCCCGGTGAGTACCTGCGTGATCCGGCCGCGCTGCGCAGCCTCGCGGAGGCCTGGAGGTGCTCCCGATGTGTGGCTGCGCTGGAGCCTGAACCGGGTTGCGTCTTGCAAGCCTTGCGGGGACTCGTACCACCCTAAGCGGGCCGATAGATGGCCTGCCAAGGAGTGTGTGTACGGGGCGGCGTGGTGCTTTTAACGCCCCGTAATGATCCTTAAAATGGGAGACTCCCTCCAAGAGATGGTACGGGCTGTGGAGAGAAGTCACCAGGGTTGGGGTCAGGTCTTGATCCGTACGGGAGGAGGCAAGCTTTTATTCCACCCGTATTAGGGTGGACTAACTCAACGACCCGCCTGCCCCCTGTTAATTGAACGAACGGCCTGCTAACTGAGGACGGCTTTTACCATTTTAAATGGTTGAAAAGATACCAAAAGGTTTTTGTGGCACGTGGAAATGCTAAGAAATTCCAATTTCGGTGTCCATAAAGTTTCGCTCGAGCACAGCCGCGCTCCCTTGCTTATGTACTGCCTGTGGCCGCTTTTCTCTTCACAGCAGAGCTGAGCTGCTGCCCTCGAAGCCTGAAACGTTGACTATCTGGCATTTCACAGCGAAATGCCGACCCCCTGACGTAGCGGATTGATTCTCCAAAGGCGAGGTGAGGGCGGGAGCAAACAAGAAATGCAGCGTGCATTCAGTTCGAAATAGCACCGTGTTATAGACCAATTGTATGCTTGAGGGAAGAAACGTTGAAAAAACACTTTACATGAGAGTCTATCTAAAATGAAGCTTGAAAGTTTTTGTTAGGGGTCAGTGAAAGATAAAAGTGGTTCCACGGGAAAGGGGCATGGGTTGAGGTATTCAGAAATTCTAACCGTGGGAGATTTCTGTTTACTAAAAGGGAGCAACGTTTAAACAATAGTAGGAAAGGACTTCCCTGGTGTGTGGAAGAAGATAATCAGAATATCTGTTGAATAAAGCAAATGAGTGAGAAGTCCTGAAACATTTCACTGGTGTAAAAATACCAGACTGCTCTTTAGGTGCATTGAAAAGCACAATTCGTTAGCATGCTCTCGTCCGTTTGTATTAGAGAAGCTGCTGTCTTCCTTATAATCTGATTTCTGCACATACCACCGCTGACCATTTTAGTTTAGAGTCCAAAATGTACCCTGTTTGGTAGTGGAATCCATATAATAAGCACATACAAGTCATGAAAAAAGGACTCGACAACCTATCTCACTTAGGGAAAAAAAGAAATTAAAATGTTCATTTTGGGGTTTGCCCTTGACGAATTTAGTTAGTTCTCTTCCCCCTATGCAAATAACTCTGCTGTTGAGGAACGCTTGGCACTTACTGGGAGAATAGAGTACATAAATATCCCACAAGCTTGGTGGTGGAATATATTCCAAGTCATCAGATGCCCCGGATTGATGAGACTACAAAGTCCAAACGGTTGTCTCTCTGGAGACATCCAGTGATTGAGTTTGTAGTTGATCAAGCTTGTCTCTGCTTCATGGAGTCTGCTGCATGTATTTGGAGTCTGGCAACTCTTGGTTGCAGGTTTTTAAGTGTGGTTTTAAAATAGTCCTCTCAGAGGGCAACAGGAGGTGTAATAGCACAAAGTGGTGTGGAGGTAGACAATTCCAGTCCCGAATTTGGAGTTCATCTGGTGCTGCCCTGTGCAAACAACGAGGTTTTTGAAATAAATGACTTTTGGGATTGCTAGGCCCACCCTCACCCCAGCACCTGTCTTGCTTCAGCTTCTCCCAATTCCCCAACCCTCTCACCACATTGCCACCCGTTTAGGGCTAATAGACTGTGCCCGACATTTATCCAAACACTGTCTTGCGTAATAGCTCTGTTAGCTAACTAATATAGAACTGAGGATTCCTGTTTCGGTAAAAACTTGCATTTGACTGGGAATTCCCTCCTGAACCCAAGCAATTTTATAAGTAGGTTCTTGACTCTCTCTCACTCTTCATTTCGGAATTGCTAGTTTCCACCCAAATAACCTCTTCAAGCGTCTTTTTTCCAGTGCCACAACCACACTCGTTATTTGCATGCTATGTAATTGATACAATATCCTCCCTGTGTGCACAGATGTGGCATGGAGCAGGGGGACCCGTAGTCCTTGCCATTCAGTGTGCTCAACCATTACTAATACATCAGTAAAAATGGCATCCATTATACATGAGAGCCTCACAATTAAGCCAACACATGTGCAGCATCCTTTCTTTGCTCTTGGTAATAAAGTGCTTTTTAACAGGCTGGAAAGAAGAAAGAAATTAACTTGCTAGGACTCAGGTCAGGGATAGGAACTGGGAGGGCTGCTGGGGGTCTCCAGCTCAGGAGCTACTCACCCCAGCGGCCCCTCATCGCCCAACCAGAGCAGTCTGGAATAAAGAGCAGCTTTAGGTCAGGCAACCCTCAGGAACCACTGTTCTGAGGTTCCCTCCAGCCAAGCCTCACCTTTTCACATACAGAGGTGAAAATGGCTCATTAGAATATCCATAGGACTGCTTTACTGAACTTCTGGGGGCCCTGTGTGAAACTGCCCTCCACCCCCCCCACCCCACCCCCAGATCCGGAGTCAGCAAACAATGGCCTGTGGCTAAAACCTGGCCCTCAGCCTGAACATTTGCAGTCACTTTTCTGATTGAGAACACTAACTCTGAAATCCAGTAAGAGGAGTATTATCCCAGTAAGAAAAGAATTCCATTCTTCTCATTAGTAGACGGCTATTACAACAACAACAACAAAATTGTACTCAGTTGTAATGTTTCGACTTTCCTCAAGAACGTTGTGGAAATTTTGTTTTCTCTCTTGTTACATAAGTACCTACGTAATAACTTTCAGTTTGCCTCTGGGCCCACAAAACCTCAAATATTTACTACCTGGCCGTTTTCGGAAAAAGTTTGTCTACGCTGACCCTGGACTTAGGTTTTTGAGTGAGGAAATAGTACCCTTAAAGGGAATTAACTTCCTTTTGCCTCTGGCTGGCAGTGATGTTTTCCCCCATTTCAGTAGGAGAGAGAGGCAAGCTCTGTGGGGTTCCCTGGCATTGGAGAAATAAGTGGATCATCTCCAGGTGATTGAATCTTGAAACTCTTTTGAGTTTCAGAGTTATGAGACTCTGGAGTGTGTGTTCTCTGAGACTTTGGCCTGTTGGATTTAGCCATGGAGTCTCGCAGAGAGCAGCTGGTACCTTAAGCCCTTCTACTGAGTGTGGCTAATCCAGGAGTAGGAGATGACCCCGAGATCATGGTCATCTTTCCCCCTCAGCTGGCTCTTAGGACTCTTTCTATTAGTCTTTTTGTCTTTTTGTCTTTCTCTGGACATCTCAGTGATAAGCATTCGATTTGTTTTGTTCTGTTTTTTTAATTTTAGGAAATTTTAGGAAGACGTGATTTTCAAAGCTAATTATGAAAACATTTGTCATTGGAATCAGTGGGTGAGTAATGTTGCTACAAACGGCTGGTGGAGATACTGAGGATGGCCAAAGGGTGTTTTCCTGTGGATGTGGTGGAGGATGGAGAGGGTCAGAATTCCTGAGTCCTGAGGAAGAGAGCAGGCCACTGGCAAATAAAAAACAGGGGAGGGAGTGCTAGCTGCATAAATGGCAACAGGAGATGGGAGAGTCTCCTCTAAACAGAGAAACAGGGTGTGTCAGTAAGCAAAATCTGCCTGCCTTACCATGTCTTTTCCGGAGTTGACACCGGACACCTTTTATCCTTATTACCCTGACTGCCCCGGCGTATTTAGGAGCTGGGTGCCCCTCTCCCTCTCAAAAGTGTCCGAAATTACAGGGTCGCCCTCGCCATGGTACCGGAGGTATGCATGCATGCGAGTAAGACACCAACAACAGCTCCAAAGGACTGTTTGTTTTGCTACTTTGTTGTGTTCCTCTTTCTTCTGAGTACATTCACACTAGCCCTGTTCCAATGAATGAAATATTTGAGACTGTTAAAATTAAAGGTTTGTGACTTGGGGGAGATCACTGTATTGTTGTATTATGTTACTATAGCGAGTAATCAGAGGTAAAAGGGAATGAATCCAGTGTCAGAACTCTGCCTCGTCTTCCTCCCATCTAACCAGAACCAAAGTACTCTTTTTCTCTGCATTGCTTCTCTTGGACATGCTTTCCCTTCTGCACTCGCTGCCACCCTCCTAAATCAGGCCCTCATTCCCTAATTCCAGCCTCCCCCTCTTAACCTTTCCTAGGTACCTCTCCACCAGTTGAATCTTCTTCAGAAATGTTTAATTATTGGGCGCCTGGGTGGCTCAGTTGGTTAAGCAGCTGCCTTTGGCTCAGGTCATGATCCTGGAGTCCTGGGATCGAGTCCCACATGGGGCTCCCTGCTCGGCGAGGAGCCTGCTTCTCCCTCTGGCCCTCACCCCTCTCATGTACTCTCTCTCTCATTCTCGCTCTCTCAAATAAATAAATAAATCTTTAAAAAAAAGAGAGAGAAATGTTTAATTATTCTCTCACCTAGTGAACAATATGCAGTGGGTTACCAGATCTAGAACAAAATCTGAATATCCACGTATATGAAGAC